CCAGAGCAGAGTAATGCAAAGTGGAACTTACGTGTTAGTGCCAGGTTGCAGCTTTACAAAGTTGCAGGAGAATAGTAATTACATTTCTGGAAACTTCTGGAAAGTCAGTATTCATTTTAATTCCATTCAGGAACAAAAGAAAAAAGAAAGGCTTCTCTATGAAACATTAAACAAAAAGAAGAAAGTCTTGAAATGTTTTCTGTTGATCCCTTCTAAAATATTTCTTCCTGCCTACTGATGAAGAGTGATAAACCAAAAAGCCTCACCTCAATCAAAGTATTACAGCTGTGGGACAGCTCTTCAGATGGATGGCCAAGTTGAGGTACCCAAAAAGCCCTTACCTTAAATCCCAGAAAGCAAAGACAGTGCTTGGCAAGCAGGAAGCAAGTTTAGATGCTGTGTTCATTCTGGTCAGCGCTAAAATCAAAGCATCCAATTTCTCAGTGAAGTGTAGTGACTTAAAAAATTCTGCATCATCTAGTGGAAACTGTTCCATCAGCAGTTTCTCAGATGTTCTCATTTATATGTACCTCAAGTACATGTTGTCTTTCAGTTATCTGAACTCAAGGTAGACAACATCCACAGCCTTTCCCTCATCCAATAAGCAGGTCACCCTGTTGTAGAAGGAGATCAGCTTTGTCAAGCGTTCGCTCAAGAATTCCTTTTCTCAGGTCTCCACTATCACTCAGAAGGTTGCAGCTGCATGGAAACAGAACTAGAATGTGCTGCTGTGTTGTGGTTTGAACTACCAAAAGACCCCTGCCACTCACTCAAACCAGGACATTCTGTCAATTTAAAATCTGTTTCACTTGTTTCAACTAATGCAACCCTCCTGTAAGTAGAGTTCCCTTAGAGTTCCTCTCCAGCATAAAACTTTTTTACAAAGAGATACCTAAATGCACTTTGCATAGTACTATACTACCAAGTATGGGCCCTCTGCATTCAGAAACTGCAGAAAAAGTTGACCCACTATAGAAGTTTATTCGGTGATTTACTAGTATGTAGTGAATGTTGTGAGCATTTTGCTGCAAGGCCCACTTCATTGTGGAATTAATCTGAACTAATATATGTGGCAATGCAATCATCTAATACAGATCATATGAACTGCACACAGAACATGTTTACTTCTCTCCTCTAAAGAGAGTTTGAGGCATTGATCAACATGTGCATTTTTCATGTAGATGTTTACAATTAGGTGAGTTGAGGGCTATTTGGGTTCATCATTCCTATGGCTTAAAGCCTGTCAACTCCAGGGCACTCACTAAAGATCACTGGTTGTGCAGCCAGCACTGGGGTAATGAGAACCCACCAAATATTGCTGAAATTACCAAAGCAGGAATTTCAGGATTATTCATTTTTAATGATGACTGGCAGCTCCCTATTTAATTCTGCCAGCTTCAGTCCTACAGGTTGTCAGAGTTTATATATGGATGAATACTTATTAATATGAGGAATTCTCAAAAGATCTGCCTGGATCACCAAAGGAAAATATTTAAAATAGGCCAGTCTTAAAACTCAGAAATGAAGTTTGCTGGCCTTCAGCTAGCTTGTTCAAGCAGTCAGGAACATTTACTTTCCAAACAGACGAAAGGGAGGCCTGTCTGCTCCCAGCTAATCCCAGGAAGGCACTCAAGCTTCAACTCAGGATTTAAACAATAAGGACAGATGACAAAGAAGCTGAGGTTACCCAGACTTCACAGGCAAGGTAATGCACTCAACATGTGTAATGTAATGGAATGTGCCCAAGGTCCTTTGTGGGCTCTGCCTCTGTGTCCACTGCACCCAGATGTAAAGTCTGATTTTTGACAGTTGCAACACTGAACACTTAAGACCTAATTTAAACAGTTACTGATTACTTTTAGGTTGCTCACACACAACAGATCCGCTCTCTTTGAGATTAAGTTTTCACCAAGTGTACAAAGGTGAAGAAAGGTTTATTAAATTATCACGAGTCATGGAGTATATAGCATGAACAAAATCAATATACAATCACCCGTGCAATCACTTTTTTAACAGTATAGAACAGCATTTGCCTTTGGTCACGTTGGTCTTCCAGTGTAGCCTAATGTGCACAGATGCAGGCAGTTCTGTATGCAATACACAGAGATGTAGTCTTGTTCCCTGACACAGAAAAATAAGTAAGCAGAAAATAAGTCTGTGTCAGTCTAATAAGAGATACCACCACTTTGTCATGAAACAGCACCTTACTCTTTTAAAATGTTAAATAAAGCGTCTTTTTAATTTTTTCCCTTTTATCTTTCTTTTTTGATGTTAAACTACCATGGAAACCACACAACGTTAGAATGTATGAGGTCTATATAAGAAAATAGGGATGGCTCCAAGGGCAAGAATTCATATGTCAGACTTAAGATAAATTCTCATAAAACCCCTAAGTATATAGTATTTGAGTTTAGATCTGGCTTCTGACTGGATGGTGTATGCCTTCTTGTCAACAGTTCATGACAGTTCAAACTGCCTTACATCCAAAAGCAGTTATCAGCCTGCAAGAACAACAGTGATGAGAAAGGACTGTATCATTTGAAGAGTGGACAAAGTGCTTGAAACAATTTTTAATAAACAAAATATATATGTCACTAATTTTCATATGAGTCTCATCAGCAGGTGCAATGTATGTTAACATAAGTGCGCCAAGAAGGATGGCTAGTGTTGGTTCACATTTAATAAAATTCAAAATAATATACCTGTAGCCTGGAACAGTATTGGCTTTTGTCCCCAGCTTCCAGTGCTTTCCATTTTGTATCTTATTTTTTATACCCTATGATCTTCTATTCCAAAAGAGTAACCAAGAAATGGGACATGATACACTCTGGAGAAAGACACATACAGAATGGCCTCAAAGAAGTCATTAGAAAGTCCTGTTCTGGTGGAAAATATCGAATCTGACTTCAGTGGTGTTACACCAGGCATTAATATTGTAGTGTGCTTAAAATAGCAGAATGGGATAAATACTGCATTCTAAAATATTTGCATTTCTAATAAGTTAATGAATTTTGATTATCCAGATTTTCTTACCTTACCTGTACCAGATTTCTACAACACAGTCGCACTCAGACAATATCAAGGAAAGCATTCTTTGGACTATGCAAACATAAAAAATTGTGAATATATTATTGTCCTATTTTGCCTTTTAAAATAACTGATTGCATCTTGGGTATCACAGAGCAACAAGCCTTCCACAGTACAGGAAACAGCATCTAAACTTCAGCCCTTCGAAGTCTCATCCAACCACTATTCTGCATATTCCGGTAGCTTGAGAACGATGTGAGCACTTCATGAATTTCAACTCCTGCTGTGACTCTAATTACACACTGGGGCAAAGACAAATCACTGAACTTTTTGTATCATTATCCACCCATTATAATCTTCATTTACTATGTGCACCTGACACTGCCTCATTAGATGATGTTCATAAACCATATTGGCCAGATTTTTCAAATGTCAGTATTTACAGCATTTACAGTACTTAAATGTCAGTATTTACATTGACATTTACCCCTACCACTTCCAACAGCTGATACAAGCTCCGTGCTTTTGAACATCAGGCTAATCTTTCTGGTTCCTTATCAAATTTTGAATAACAAGCTAAAGGTATTGACATTTTGATAGATTAGTGTATATAAATGCAAAACATTTTTGCTATGTCTTGGTCTAAAAAGGCATATGAATAAGACCTAGGCAAAAGTTGTCCATTGCATCATAGCAAAACATATACACCCCAGTGAAATGCAGAACTATTCATAAAACTATATTTTTAATGATTTACCCAGCATCATTCCAACTATAAAACATTTTAAAATATTAACTCAAATGTTATTGCCTTTGCAGTAACAGTCAGCCTTTTATGAGATAGAAACCTTAAAATACTTCCACTCAGCATTTTAAAATCAAATATTGCTTGTCACAGTTCTTTATCTTTCTGGCTATTCTCATCGACTGAAAGGTTTCTGTTTTCTCTCTTTAAAAGTAGTCTATCAGTTTTTAGGTAATATTATATTAGCTTCCACATTATATGTTTTTGTCAAAAGGTGTCCCAGTCATAAATGTATCACTAGTTTGAAACCTGGGATACTCAGACATCTACACAAATTGAAATGGCTGTGAGTGCCGATTTTCTCCCTGTCTGTAAAAACATCATTCATCACTGGCAGTGTGTGCATTTATGGCATTGATCTAAAAAGAAAGGAACAAAGCAGTAAAGCTATGTCTGCAAATGACATTCTGCACAAAAATATTAGAATGACTGATGAAGCTTGTAACTCTTTATCACACAGGTTATGTTTCAATTTCTGGAGATAATATCTAGGTCTAGTTATTTTGGATTTGCAGAGGGAAAACTCCCTCATAATTTGCTCCTCAATCATTTTTTCATTGTTTCTTCACAACGGTTGGTGATGTAGTAAACTGTTATTTCTTTCTGGAATTCTAGATTCTAACCCAATAGCAAAAATTTCAAAGTAGTATTTTACTAGCCTACAGTCTTTGATTTTGGGATAAGCATTGCTCTTGCACATTTTTATATTGGTATTGTTCAATATCCAGGTAACTTTCCATCTTTTTGGTTTTTGTTCAAACCCTTTTCTTTCTTTAAGACTTTTTCTCAGAATGCCTACTGAGACCTCACAATCTAAACTGGAAATCCTTGAAGACAACCAGCAGACATCAGCATCTCCTTTTAGGAAACTGAAACATTTAGGTATATGGACAATTTCCCACGCAGATATTGCTGTGATGGCTATTACAGAAAATTCCATATAAGGCAGAGCTTACAGTATGTGGGAGACGTGAATGATAGAAACATAGAATACCAGGTTGGAAGTGAAGTCCTATAAGCATTTGCCATCACATCAATTAAACCATCAGCAAGTATAATCTTGGTTTCTTAGAAAAGCTTTCAGCTGGTTTTAATAGTATGCAGGGAAATAAATTTTTTGGGTTTGCTATTAAAAAATTAAGTCTTTGCTTCTATTCCCTTGGCTCAGGGCAAAGAAGAGGAAGAACTTTGTGTGTTTAATGATTCATTGACTCAGCTGTTTCAGCCAAGGTCCTGGCAGGCAGCTGCTGCATCAGAGATGGCACCAGTAGCCTTTGGACCACGCTCCACAGAAGGAGTGCTAAAGCAATGGATGGAGAAGAGGAGCTGAAATACCTTTCCACCCTGACCAGCTCCCATGGGAAAGGAGTTTGAGGAAGGTCATAGCATGTATGGAAAACCTATAGTAAACATACAGAGAGTGTAAATTATTTAATAAACACACTTTTTTTGGAGCATCCAATTTAGCATCTTTCTCCATCATTCAATGAATCCACTGCCTATAAATAAAACATATTAATAATCTAATATCAAAAGTAACTATTTTGTTCTATGTTTTGCTACTGGTAATGTAAAAAATCTTTTTTCTTGTGTAATTTACATAAAATCTATATTTACTTTAAAAATCCAAAGCAATGTAACTAAATCTAATACTGGATTCTTCTCTCAAAAGTTTAGATTTGTGTATCTTTCTTACACTTACTTATTGTGTTATGAGGTATGATAAAACATCTTGTTTTATAACCATGTTTTAATTTATGAAGATCAATGATAAACAATTCACTTGAGGCTCTCCCCAAGAGTATCTGTACTCTTATTAACTCTATGTAAATAAATTATGCAAAAATGTTATTTGATAAATTAATATATCTTTATATGCGAAGATAAAAATTCATTATGTTACACCAAGACACTTTAAAAGGTGTGACATTCTAAAAAAAGTATAACTTTGCCAAATTTGAATCTCAAGATATTTCAAATGACTTTCTAAAAAACACCAGACCTCTGCCAACATAAATCTTTAGAGCTTCTTCTTGTTCTCATGACTCCCATGAATTTAGCAAAATTCTGTCTTTCACTTTAGTTTCCCAGTGCAAATGAAATTGGTTATTGTGAATGTATGTTTATCCTAAGTATAACTTAGAATATATAGATATATGTTGCAATTAAATGTAAAATCTCCACCTAGTGGTCTCTATTCTGGTATGCAGATTCCACATAAGAAATGCCAATGTATTAGCCTATTATTGCTGAAATGGCTGGTGAGCTGGGCCATAAATAGAGACAAATTACAACAAAGAAAAGGGTAACTAAAAATACAGAAATAGAGAAGAGGACAAAATAAAGCAAAACAATTTGCTTTATTGGATATTTACATTCATATTCAGAACTAGGTAATAAATTTGAGCTAATTTTGTAAAAATAAATACCAGAAGGTCAAAAAAAAAAAAAAAAGATAAGCCCAGAGCTTAAACTCCCTCCTGCAAAACTATTACGAAATACATGAAAAAAAAACCCCACTTTCCTTATTTTTATCCAGGGATTTTGAAGGCAATCATATTAAGGCCTTAACTAATACCACCTTCCTGGAATGTGATGCGCTCACTGTATTGTAAGTAAAAAACCTATGAAAATAAGGCAACAAAACCCTTTTGAGTGTGCATGACTTTCAGTCCTCAGCACAGGATTTGTCTCAATGTATAAAGACTCATCGGGACAGTTGTGCTACTGTCAAGGAGGTATTCTTCACAATTTATGGAATTATTGCATGTGCGGTCACATGGCACAATCACTTGTTTCAACAAATAGACTAAGAAACAGGCATACTGTATTGTTTCCTCTTGTGATCAGATCATGAGCACCAGGGTGCTTTTTAAACTCCACCAGATCCTGAGACTTGCCATGTGATCATGAAGAAGAAACAATATAGTATGCCTGTACCTCAACCTGCAGATATTTTTTCTTGTTGAATGTATTCCTCCTTCAGATTGGGTTTTCCAAAACATTTTGTTGCTGCTAAAATCAAATATATTGGTGTAAATTAATAACTCACATTTATATTTTTTTAAAAAAATTCAGCTTTATCTCCTATAATACATAGAAGAAGAATAGCAGAATCTGATGGAGGATCACATTCATGGGTAAAAATTCTATGTGTTAAGAAATATAAAATGCTCCTTGGTGTTATACATGTGGTGTCTTACTAGTAAGGAGCAGGATTTCCCTGCAGTGGGACTGTATCAATTGCAATGAGAGTAAAAGCAAAAAAAGCTAAATTTTATCATGTTAAATTTCTTTCTGTATAACAAATCCCAGAGCCTTTAATCAAACAAAATTCCCTATTTCTCTTTTACTTCGTAATTGTTTGGTTTTAATTAAAACTAAGTGAACTTAGTCTTGTGTAGGTTTCTTTTGCACTGACTACAATAATACAGCTTGTTATGAACTGGAAAAATTAACCAGGGTCCTGTGTAACTTCTAACCCAACTAGAAAAATAAAAAGCCAAGTAGTCATACTGAAACATGAAATTAGAGCTCCATATTAAGCTGAGTCATTAAGCACTTATTCTAATATATATTTTACTTCAAGGTTTCATCATGGAAATAAAATTTGCTTACTGCCTGCAAACACCTTTTCCTCATTAAAAGATTTGGGGGAATTGTGAGCTTTCTAAAATCTATTTTTAAATTCTATAGTGTGAGCTATTACATGTCTGTAATCTGTGAGTGTACTGCACCTTTCCTGCCAAAGGTGAAGCAGGAGGTCATGCAGAATCACAGGTGGAAGGTTAGAAAGCTACTCGGCAAGAGGGAGCTGCAGGTAGTGCTTAGGGCAGCAGCACAGGGAGTGGGGGGGAATTTACTCCAAGGTTTGCCAGGTTTTACAACAGTCATAGTTGTATGGTCTGAAAAACAAGGTCTCCATCTGTCCCAGTCAATGTCAGGCTTCCTCCCTCTGGGCATATGAGTGCTCAGCTTCACCAGGGTCCTCTGGAGTTGATACTACCTTTTTCAGTTGCTCACACACTGACGGTATCTATATTCCCTGTACAGTCTATACAAAGATAGTTAGGACAGCATCTCTCTGCTTTGAAGGTCAACCAACCTCTCCCAGTAGCTGTCTGAGGAACTTAGGCACCTCCTTTAAGATTTGAGACTGCCACTTCCCCTGGGGATAAGCGTGTACGCATTAGGCTCATCTGCATACAAAGTAATCACACTGCATCTGGGTTTTGGTTGCCTCATTATCTGGCATGACATGTTTAGGCAGAAACATAAAAACAGCTGCAGAAAGTGTAGCAGAGGAAATGAGAAGGGAAAGCTTGAAGGAGAAGGGGAGCTCCAGTCACTGGAGTAACACGAGTAATTGAAACAGCTACTGGCTGTGGAAGGAGAGTAGCAACTAATGTTATTTGTTAAAGATACTGTTGTGTTGGCATTGTGAAACTCTTTCACTAATATCAGTCTTCAGCACTGAATTTACTGTGAGATTTTTTTTAATGCGTTTTTTTTTTTCTTGTGTTTTTCCCTGTACTACCTATATGAAATGTGAAAGCTTCACATCTATGTAATTAGGCTTTGATTCATCTCATCTCTCAGCAATTATTAAGTTCATAAATTACAGAGAGACCCTCAGGCAACCAGGTTCCCAAATTAGATACCTCAGCTGAATTCGTTATAGTGAATCAGAGCTAAAACAATCCATGTTTAGCAGTCACCAAACATTGGTGTCTCTACTGACTGGCTTCAAAGTGACTTATGGGTAAAGTCAGAGTAAGGAAGTATTGGATGAACCGAAATAATGATAAAAGCTAATTTTGCTACTAGTAAAATTTTAAGTAAGATAGTATGTCTCCTCACCTGTAAAAAGGAGAAAATCTGAGTCTTAAAGTTCTTAAAGTTTGTGTATTGAAGTGATGGGTGAAATAGGATGAATCCTATTGCTTTTGTTCTGTATATTTCTCAAAGGGATCTGTCCAGCAACATGATTACAGAATTGCCACGTTATCTTTTTAAAGACATGAATCACAGAATAACAGAATTATCTAGGTTGGAAAAGACCTTGAAGATCATCCAGTCCAAACATTAACCCAGCACTGACAGTTCCCAGCTACACCATATCCCTCAGCGATATGTCGACCCGACTCTTAAACCCCTCCAGGGATGGGGACTCCACCACCTCCCTGGGCAGCCCATTCCAACACCTAACAACCAGCTCTGTAAAGCAATGCTTTGTATTATCAAGTCGAAACCTTCCCTGATGCAACTTGAGGCCATTCCCTCCTGTTCTATCACTTGTTACTTGGTTAAAAAGATTCATCCCCAGCTCTCTGCACCCTCCTTTCAGGGAGCTGTAGAGGGCAATGAGGTCTCCCCTCAGCCTCCTCTTCTCCAGACTAAACACCCCCAGTTCCCTCAGCTGCTCCCCGTACGACCTGTGCTCCAGACCCTGCACCAGCTCCGTTGCCCTTCTCTGGACACGTTCAAGTCATTCAATGTCCTTTTTGTAGTGAGGGGCCCAAAACTGAACACAGGAATCGAGGGGCGGCCTCATCAGTGCCGAGTACAGGGGTCAGATCCCTTCCCTGTCCCTGCTGGCCACGCTATTGCTGACACAAGCCAGGATGCCATTGGCCTTCTTGGCCCCCTGGGCACACTGCTGGCTCCTGTTCAGCCGGCTGTCAATCAACCCCCCCAGGTCCCTCTCTGACTGGCAGCTCTCCAGCCACTCCTCCCCAAGCCTGTAGCGCTGCTGGGGGTTGTGGCAAGTATTTACAAAATCTGTAAGTTGTAAATGAGAATTCCCAACTGAATTTAAAAATGTACTAATTTAGCTTTACTTTTTCCTGAAATAAGAAACAGTTTTTATTTCTTTTAGCAATCTGTCTTTCAATCCAGTTTCTCACTTCTCTGGGGATCACACTAAAAGTCTTCAGCAGCTTCAGTCTTTGTAAGTAAAACCTGAAATATTTTACTAACATAGTTCACTAAATAATATCCTTTCTTTCCAGGATAAATATTCCTTAATTACAAAAGGCTTGTGAATTATTGAATGACATTCTCTAAGATGCTGAGTGTACTTCTATTCTTCTATACTTCTATTCCTTCATCACACTAAGTTAGCAGGCCAAAATACACAAATAACAGCCATACAGTTTGCTCAGTATTACTGCTATTTACAAATAATATGCCTAGGAGCAATCAAAACACAAAAATTTAGAATAAATTTCACAAGTACAACTAGGACACCTGGGCAGATAAAGACATAAACATAAATAAATAGTAGCAAATATTTTAGAACTTCTATAAACTCTTCTTTGGAGTGGTTTATAAAATATATTCCAGGGTTCAGGTTTCAGCCACTTTTTAAAAAAATTTTTCACACAAAACTTGAATTCATTTTTCTTATTTTTTTCTTTAATTTGCAAAGATTCATCCTCATCTAAAAGTACGTTTTATAATTCCATTGGATTCAAGGTTGAAAAGCAAGGCTACAGCATTTTTTTTTTAAATTTTCTCTATGTGCCATATGGCTTTTTTCTTAAATGCTGTCCAAAAGAAGAAGCAAATGTTATT